AAGAATTTGAGCAACAAATGGAGCCTAATAATAAACCATCTAGTGTTGCTTGTGAAATTAAATTGAAAGGTGCATGTTTACTTGCCACCAAATCTGATATTGATGATCTAGATTTTAGCAAATCTGTTTGCTATGCTTTTGTGTGCAAAGAGTCATTATTTTCATTCGAGGACGTGCCTTCCTCTTTGCCCCCTGCTGTCACTAACATTTTGCAGGAGTTCGCTAACGTATTCCCATAAGACGTGCCACCGGGATTACCACATATTCGAGGGATTGAGCATCATATTGAATTAATTCTTGGTGCATCATTACCCAACTGTGCGCCATACCGTACCAATCCAGAGCAGACGAAGGAGATTATGCGTCAAGTACAAGAGCTGCTTGACAAAGGTTTTATACGCGAATCCCTTAGTCCTTGTGTTGTTCCTATAATTTTAGTGCCGAAAAAGGATGGTACGTCGCGTATGTGTGTTGATTGTGGAGGCATTAATAATATTACTATTAGTTATCGTCATCCTATTCCTAGGCTAGACGACATGCTTGATGAATTGAGTGGCTCTACAATATTCTCCAAAGTTGGTTTGCGTAGTGCATACCATCAAATTCGTATGAAATTGGGAGATGAATGGAAAACAACATTTAAAACTAAGTTTGGATTATATGAGTGGTTAGTCTTGCCTTTTGGGTTAACTAATGCACCTAGTACTTTCATGAGATTAATGAATGAAGTTTTACGTGCTTCCATTGGACGATTTGTGGTAGTCTATTTTGATGATATACTGATTTATAGTAGAGCTTTGGAGGAACATTTGGAACATTTATGTGCTCTTTTAATTGCTCTACGTGATGCACATTTGTTTGGTAACCTTGGGAAGTGCACCTTCTGCACCGACCGAGTATCTTTTCTTGGCTATGTTGTTACTCCACAGGGAATTGAAGTTGATAAAGCCAAGATTGAAGTTATTGAGAGTTGGCCACAACCCAAAATGGTCACACAAGTAAGCAATTTTCTTGGCCTTGCTGGATTCTATAGGCGTTTTGTGAAAGATTTCAGCACCATTGCTGCACCTCTCAATGAGCTTACAAAGAGGGATGTACCGTTTGTTTGAGGTACCGCACAGGATGAAGCCTTCACGGTATTGAAAGATAAGTTGACACATGCTCCTTTACTCCAACTTCCTGATTTTAATAAGACTTTTGAGCTTGAATGTGATGCTAGTGGAATTGGATTAGGAGGTGTGTTATTACAAGATGGCAAACCTGTTGCATACTTTTCTGAAAAATTGAGTGGGCCTAGTCTGAATTATTCTACTTATGATAAAGAATTATATGCACTAGTTCGGACTTTAGAAACATGGAAACATTATTTATGGCCCAAAGAATTTGTTACACGTTCTGATCATGAATCTTTGAAACATATTAAAAGTCAAGCTAAACTGAATCGTAGACATGCTAAATTGGTTGAATTCATTGAGACTTTCCCTTATGTCATTAAACACAAGAAGGGTAAGGAAAATGTTATTGCTGATGCATTATCTCGTCGCTATACTATGCTTTCACAACTTGACTTCAAAATACTTGGTTTGGAGACCATCAAAGATCAATATGTGCATGATGCTGATTTTAAAGATGTAATGCAGAATTGTAAAGAAGGAAGAACATGGAACAAGTTCGCCATTAATGATGGATTTGTGTTTCGTGCTAACAAGCTATGCATTCTAGCTAGCTCCGTTCGTCTTTTGTAGTTGCAGGAGGCGCATGGAAGAGGATTAATGGGACACTTTGACATGAAGAAGACGCAGGATATACTTGCTACACATTTCTTTGGCCAAAGATGAGACGGGATGTTGAGCGTTTTGTTGCTCGCTGCACTACATGTCAAAAAGCTAAGTCATGACTCAATCCTCATGGTTTATATATGCCTTTGCCTGTACCGAATGTTCCTTGGGAGGATATATCTATGGACTTTGTTTTAGGTTTACCTCGAACAAAGAAGGGGAGGGATAGCATATTTGCTGTCGTGGATAGATTTTCGAAAATGGCACACTTTATACCATGTCATAAAAGCGATGATGCTGTTAATGTTGCTGATTTGTTCTTTCGTGAAATTATTTGCTTGCATGGTGTGCCAAATACTATTGTTTCATATCATGATACTAAATTTCTTAGCCACTTTTGGAGATGTTTATGGGCTAAGTTGGGGACTAAACTTCTTTTTAGTACTACTTGTCACCCCAAACTGATGGACAAACTGAAGTAGTCAATAGAACATTGTCTACTATGCTTAGGGCAGTTTTGAAGAATAATAAGAAAATATGGGAAGAATGCTTGCCTCATATTGAATTTGCTTATAATCATTCAATGCATTCTACTACTAAGATGTGACCTTTTGAAATAGTGTATGGTTTCCTATGTCGTGCACCTATTGATTTGTTGCCTCTTCCATCTTCGGAGAAGGTTAATTTTGATGCTAAAGAACGTGCTGAATAGATTTTAAAAATGCATGAGTTAACTAAGGAAAACATTGAGTGTATGAATGCTAAATATAAACTTGATGGAGATAAGGGTAGACAATATGTTGTGTTTGCACCTACAGATCTTGATTGGTTTACATTTGTGTAAGGATAGATTTCCTAATTTGCGCAAATCAAAGCTAATGACACGTGCTGATGGTGCTTTTAAGGTGTTAGAGAAAATAAATAATAATGCATATAAACTTGAGTTGTCTGCAGATTTTGGGTGTAGTCCCACTTTTAACATTGCAGATTTGAAGCCTTATTTGGGTGAGGAAGATGAGCTTCCGTCGAGGACGACTTTATTTCAAGAAGGGGAGGAATGAGGACATGAATACCATTGTTACATCCACAGCCCCTGCTACTCTACATACTGGACCAATTCCTAGAGCTCGCGCACGCCAATTAAATTATCAGGTACTTTCGTTTCTTGGTAATGATTCTAATGTTCATGAGAATATGATGCTGCCTAAATTGGATACATTTGTTTTGCTTACAAATGAAGGGCCTGGCATGGATAAAAGGGATGAACACTAGAGCAAGACCAAGCATGGAGATGATGGCATGTGCAAGGGGATCAAGAACGGAGTTACAAGTGATGACTTTAGGACTTTGGAGCCACCATACGGAGTGCATGAAGCCTTGGACGAAATATACAAGATGCCACTTCATAAATTTCGTCTAGAGGCTATTCTAGGTGCTGCGTAACCTTATTATTGGGCCAAGCCCATGTATTTTCAAAATACTTAAGTATAGGCTGTTTTTAGAGAACGTATGTGTGCGGAAACAAGAGTTAGGGTTGGTTTCGGACGCCTCCTCAAACGTTCACGAAATTCCCCCCTCTTCCTCCATATATACAAACCTTAGGGTGTCGTTTAAACATTGGGTTTTGTTTAGATTAAAGTTCGCCATAGCTGCAACTTCGCGTACTTCATTAGTGTTCAACGACCAGACAAAGGCGTCACAGAACCCCACCTTTGATCAATAAAACTTTCCTCTTATATTTGCAATAACAAGATTGCAATCTTAGTTTCTTGCTCGTTCTTCGTTTGCCTGCAGGAAATGGACCTTCGTGGTCAAGTTGATCGTGTTCTGTCTTGGTGAATAACCTCTCGGAGTTGGTTTAGCGATTGCTAAGGCGCGACGTCCTCGCACGTTCGTAGTCGGATCGTCAAAGTCGACTTCCTGCAAAACAATAGCCACCATCTCATCGATAGACGAGACAGCTTTGCCTCTATCATTCTAGGTCAAAAAGTCATGCTTAGGGGCCGAATTTGAGGGTCCTCCGGGACTACTGTGCAAGCCAGTAGTTTTTTTAGATTTCCATGCTTGTCACAAGCATTTTGAGTACTTGTGGGTCCAGAACAGACTCCGAATGACAAAGTTATGACCGTTTTAGTGAACGCTAGTCCTTCATATGACAGTCCTGGAAAGAACTGCATTTTCTCTTCACGCATTCTGGCATGCCGCCCCAAAATTTTGTGTCGTCCATAGTGGAGATATTGTTTCCACATATATAGTGACCGATGCCAGGAATGCCCTCCTATTATTGGCTATCACACATGTAGGTTACGGCATGCCACACGGACAAAACAAGGAGAATAAGGCTTACAGTCGCCTTATTTTTCTTTAATTTACAACCAAATGGGATTCCCCGAATCATAGAGCATGTGCAGAATGCAATGTTTTTCTTACCAGGCGGACTAATGTTTATACTCACCATAATCTCTCGGATTTCCGTCCAAAGGAATGCTAATGGGTTCAGAAACTTGTGTGAAAAGCAACGACAAATGATGTTCTTTGACTTTCAGGGGCAAAAGGTCCTCCTTAGGGTCAAATTAGAGGGTCCTCCAGGACTCTTGCACAAGACGGAAGGTATCTTCTAGATTCCAACGCTCTTTGTGAGCATTTTGATTACTTGTGGGTCCGAAACGGACTCCGAATGTCAAACTTATGACCGTTTTAGTGAACACCGGTCCTTCACATGGCAGTCCTTGAAAGCACTTCATTTTCTAATGATGCGTTCTTGCGCACCGCTCCAAAATTTTGTGTCCTACATAGTGGAGATATTGTTTCCACATATATATTGATTGATGCCAGGAATGCCCTCCTATTATTGGCTATCACACATGTACGTTATGGCATGCCACATGTCAAAAACAAGGAGAATAAGGCTTATTGTCGCCTTATTTTCATGAATTTACAACCAAATGGGATTCCTCGGATCATAGAGCATGTGCAGAATGGAACGTTTGTCCTTACCAAGCGGACTAATGTTTATACTCACCATAATCTCTCAGATTTCTTCCAAAGGAGTGCCAATGGGTTCAGAAACTTGTCTAAAAACCAGCGGCAAGTCGAAAATCCTTATGTGATCGCGAGCTCACAGGTTCCCTCTATATGTGCCATTTATTCACCTAGCGATCTAAGCTGCAATGGGTATAGTGATGGGTATTCCTCCACATATATTATCGCTCCAAATAGGCCATGGCCCACTACGCAGTTAACCCCGCCAGTCAGTGGGGTGGCGGATCAGACGGGACTGGACGGGGCGAACCATTTTCTCACAGAAGCTGGTCCAAAGGAGCTGTTTTGCTCATTTATGATAGCACCGGTGGTAGGTACCAATCTTCTCAGGCACACCTCCTCCCACTCATCCTTCTTCATATACAAGTCAACCAGGCAGATCTTCTGAGCCAACTAATCCAGACTAGGGCCACAAATCCTTCCGGAGAGCATGTCTGCATCATCATCATCAAGCGGCTTCGAGCAACTCCCGCCGCTAATCAGCTGCCCTCAGTGCGGCGGTAGGATCTTCACCTGGATTGCTTGGGTGGGGCAGAATGCAGGCATTCATTTCTACAAGTGTGTAAACAAGGATGTGAGTACAATCCATTCTCCAGTCATTCATCTAAGTAGTCGTGTGCCAATCGGATCGGCTAACATATCGAGTTTTAGTGTACGATTTGCTTTGTTCTTGCAGTCTGGAATTTGCAACTACATGAGGACCAAGGAGAAGTACCTTGCAGAGTTAAGCTTTCATTTGGGGATGAAACAACAGACTAGATACGGCAGCAGCCAGGCCGGATCGGTTATGAACTACAGAGTCCGTGTGGTCGAGCAGCAGCGCAGTGTTCCAGCCGTAGGCCAAGCCATCAGGGTTAATCAAGCAGGCTCTTTCGTCGCCGCGCTCCGTGTTCTTGCGTTCTTGGATGCTGCCATACTCTTTGTGGGTGTCTTATTTTCATGGCGTTGCTGAAAGGAGTGTCACTCCTTAGCAGGTAGACGGTGGTCTTGGTCTTGTTGCCAGACTAGAAATAATGATTAGGATGGGTGAAGTGTGTCTTTTGTAACCCAGTCGTTGGTGATCAGAATCTGGTAGTGCGTCCTTTGTATTGAAGTGGTTGGTAATGAGAATCTGGAAGCTTGTACTTTGTATCCCAGTGGTTGCTAATGAGAATTGACTGTGGTTATTCCATAAGACCGTTGTTAAGATATGTGATCTGAACAATCAGCAATCAATTAAGGTTTAGATATTTATTTTTGCCCCGACCATATTATCAATTGGGCAGCAGCACTAATGCTTGATCTTCTTTTCTGTAGCTAATATATCATAATTATCTCTGTGGAAACAAGTTCATTTACTATATAAATTGGAACCGGCAGGTGCTGTCAGTGGCATGACCGCTGGGCGCAACAAATGCTAGCACCTACCCCGGTGATCTAGATATTTCCTGACCTTATCTCCACCCACCAGCCCGCACCCACCCAACAGCCCTCATACCAGCACTGTGTCTCGCTTGCCCCCGTTTCAGCTACACTCTCAAGCGAAGTCGCCGGCGATTTGTCCCACGGCGTAACCATTCCAGCAGGGGAGATCCATAGGTATTATTCCCCAGTCGATCTGTAATTTCATGGTGCCGCACAAATGTTTGTATGCTGTATCCTGATCCGCATGTAGTTATTCGAACCACCAGTCAAAATTTCGGTTGTAATCATGCTCTTCACCGCATGAATTAATCAAGTTCAGTCATACTCCTTTCTAGTTATCATGCTCAGCCAGCATAGTTCGTCAGCCATGAGGGGCCACACATGTATAGATAATTTCACTCCATGTTTTTTAGCACATGCTCTCCATCTATCATATTCTAGCCTACATTCGTTTAAGCTCCGTCACAATCAAAGTTTTCACATTGGTAGGAATCATGTATGACGCCGGAAGTTGTGATGGGGCCGCAACCTCTGGGGATGCAGCTGATGACAACAATCATGGACAGCCACAGCAAGCTAATCAACAACAGGCACCTCCTGCTCCAACTTCTCGAATTTCAGTCAGAAAAGCAGTAGAAGTAATCCAGACATTTGACGAATACAAGTGGTGGCTCATTGCTGAAATTGGTTTTGGTGGAATGCTAAAGCTACCCTTCCTCCAGAAGCTTAATCTTAAGTTTAGCGCCTGGACTATGAGCAAGGTCTGCGTTGAGCGTCGAGCGATTGTTTTGTCAGAAACCAAGATACTAAAGTTTTTTGTGGAAGACATCCACAAGGTTTTTGGCATCCCGTGTGGACACCGGAGTGTTAGAGGGCGTGATGGTTTCATCAAGCCAGAAGCTATAACATTCATAAAGAGGACGCTAGGCATGGACAGGACGGGAGTGCATAGCCTGCGTGCGGCTGAGGAATTCCTTCTCCGTGACAGATCCAAGGATTCTAGCAAGATGGAGAAGGATTGCTTTCATATTGCATTTGTCATTTTTGTTATGGGACATGTGCTGGCACCTAGAACAAAACATGATTATGGCACCATAGACTACTGGGGTGCATTGGCAAATACGGAGAACATATCACAATTCAATTGGTGTGAGTTTGTACTTGAGTTCTTGCTTGAGGCAGTCCGGCGGCTTAAGAATGATATGATGGCCAACAATATGAACGCCAATCTGGTTGGTTGCCACTTGTTTTTACAGGTTTGTCCTCTCATCGACATGGTTCCCGAGATCAGTTCATAATGATATATGTCATACATTTTTAATTCACATCGATCCCATATTAACAACCTTTTCATGCAGATTTTCTTCCTTGACAATGTCGACCTTGGAATTTTCAACAAGAACCATAATGTTCTTCCTCGCATTAGTGACTTCGATCAGACCAGCATCAAGAACATGATAACAATGGCGACTGACATTGGAATGGGCCCTACATCCTACTCGAAATGCATGGTAACCATGGCATCTTACTGTGGTTTGGTGAACATTATTTATTGATTCACCCTCATCATAATAAATGTTTTTCATATGTATCTATGGTAGATTCGTCAGGGTATTGATCTATGCTATGCTGGTTGCAACATTGCTGATTGCACTGAGAGAACTTCCAACCAGCCAGTTGAAGGCGTCAATATGGAGGAAGATGTTTAAAAGTTCACCAACGACAGGAATGATTCAGCTCATGTATCATCTTCAGCAACCGGCAACCTAATGGACGTACATACACCACTACATATGCTTGGACCAATGGACTTTATAGAGCACATGTGGAGCCGATACCACAGTCTGGTATGATTCTCTGCTACGGTTGATTCGATTTTTTTCATTATTTTCCAAGATTTTCCCATCATTGTATCTGGTAATAGTCATGGCATCTATATTGATTCTGCTGATGTATGTCATTTTCTTTGTGTGCCGTAGGTTAGGGATGAGTTGAGTTTTATGCTGAAGGAGCAGAATGCCAAATGCCAGCGTGAAATCAACACCGCCCGCGCAAATATGCAGGCAGACATGATCAAATTCGTGGACAAACTAATGGCGTCGATTAGCAAGAGGTGCATCTGCTGTACTGCTAGAGGGTTTACTGACTGTTCGGCAAGAGCAGTAGATACATTTCCAGATGATACACTGAGGACTCCGGTTGGACAGAAAATACCAGGAGTCAGGCTCGATATGTCTACATGCAAAGGTCTCGATCGGTGTTCATTGCAATCCCATGTTTTTGTTTATTTACATTTTTGCAACGACTTCCTCCCGTGCCAATAGTTCATTTCATATGATAACTTTCACTCTGTTTTCAGATGGCAACTCTGGACCGAGTATCCATGGTGATGAGCAGTCAGGCCGGCTATAGAACAAGAGGTCACGACATGATGAAGGAGCAGTCGCAACAATGACATCTCAGATACTTCAGTTTGCAAGGCATACACTGCAGGCTATCAGTGAAATGTTTATTGACTTGCCGGATGACGGCAACACCACTGCGTTTGGACAGAAGGTAGAGGGACTTCCTGGAAGAAAATATGTATTCAGATCTGGATTCCAAACAGACCCATGGATCAGGGGTGCTGTCTCGCTACCACCGCAACCGTATGTTTGCCAACAATTAGAAGGGTTCTTTACTACGGCACTGCCAGAAGAACTATGCAGGTGATTATGACAAACCAGAATGTTATGGTGCATATTGATTATCTGCATTCACACTTGAACCATTATGCTGACACTCCTTTTTCCATATACTCAGGAATTTTCTTGTGCATGAGAACCCAAGGTTCTTACGAATAACGGGTTCAGCGTTGAAAAGCCAGCTTGTTGAAGATGAGCTAATCGACCATGAGGTGATGTCAGTCATTATCAGAAGGTATTGCCAATCTGATCAGGAAGCCAACAATACTCCCCATACTTAACATGGAGACACCCATTTGAACCGGAATTTTCTGCCAGTCTTAAATACCTATCCACATCTTTGGCAACTTGTTTTTCAATATACATTTATTTTATCCATTCATCGACGTTTGGATTTGACTGAATGTAGACGATGGCACTATCGGGTCATGATTACCTACATACGGTGTCAATCCAGAAAGCATTCTGTGCCGACGCACTCAAATATGACATCACATCAGCTGAGTTGGTATGAGAGTAAAGCAGCACCGACCCCTTGATTTTTGTATTATCCTATGGCAACTAATTGGTCCCCTAATGCTGCAATTATTCTTTGCAGTTCTTGACGCTGGTCCCACGGCCTGAAGGATGGATTGTAGTTTTCTGGGACATGGTAACCCGCCTCATGTTTGTTATTGATCCAATGTACAGCAAGAGAAGCCATCCACCAACCACTCAGCAAATAGACGAGATTATAGCTTGGAAGTTACATGATGCCTTGTTCATTTGCTTGAATGAGTATTATGCTAGCTGGCCCGTGAGGAAAGATGGTTGGAAAGTCACCTTCCCCGCACTTGCTGATAGCATTTTCTCTCACTATTGTGTTCCCCAGCCCCCTTTCTGTTACCTAATCACGTGTAATGTCATAAGTGCGTTCTTATGAAAATATGTTTGCTTTGAGCAGTAATGAAACTGGAGCTTGTGTCATAGATATTGCCCGCCATTTCGACGGGAAAAATCTGAAGATGCCCCTCACCTGTGACACTCCAAAATTTTTACTTTGGTTTTCAGCAAAAACTTTGTGGTTTTTGAAAAGAGGCCATTTAAAATTTTCCAGAAAACCTTCCTCTTAAGAAACTTTCTTTTCTTTGGCAAGGTTTTTATTCTGGCTTCAAACTTTGGTGTTTGACCTTTTGAAACTTCTTCTCTGTTGGTTCTCTCTCAAAATTATTTGTGGGAGTTTAATCTTTTTCTTTTAAAAAGAAACTCCATGAAATTTGGGATTTTCATATCTTGGAACCACCATGACTTGGCATTCTTGCCCATGTGGTAAAACCCCTCCAAAACCTCCCCTACAACTTGTGATCAACCTAAATTCTCTGTCCCAACTAATCCAAACTGGTTTTGGATTTTTATTCCAATTATTTTTCCCTCAATTCAATTCTGAAAATTATTTGGAGCCTGAGAGATTTTCAAAGCAAGTGCCCTATTGCATTTGAGTTTTGACCTCAAACCAATTCTCCTGGATTGTCCTTTGAACCCACAAGCCAGAACCATCTTGATCCACTCCTCCTCTTTTCAAATTTTTCAAAATTCAGTCTCTGCAAGTTTGGACCAGATTTGCCAAATTTGGTGAAATTCATATCTACACTCCTCCAAAAATTCCACCAAAATTCAGGCAGCCTATTTGAGCAAGGAGAAGCCACTCCACCAAAAATCAGCTCAAGGAAAAATCACCAGAGGCCAATTTCATTCGGTCGAACACCTGGTGGGCACTGTTACTGTTCATAGTTCAGAAAATTCAGTTTTCAGTGTCATCTTCAGTCCGTCAGTTTCAGTCACGCGGCCACAGTGCCCTTGGCACGTTCCTCGCCGCCTCTTCCTC